CGAATCCGGAGCTGTCGATCACCTTTACTGTGTGTTCCAATGTGCTCGATCCAGACAGCGTGCCGAATGCGGTGGAGATGCCAGAGTTCGTCTTGTAAGAATAGCCGGTATCTGAATCCTGGAGACTTTGGCGTGTGCGGGGTGTGTGGACAGAGTAGGCGCTAGAGCGCGATGCAGAGTCAGTGGAGTGTCTGATGTTTGGGCTGAATGACGATGAGGTCAGACTACAGTCTGATGGTATCCGACTGTTGATGTCGCAAGATCAGAGCAGAGTGAGACGTGTTCACTCGAGACTAGGCGGTCGAGAACGGTCTCCTTCTCGGGATGCGACGACGAGGAGACACCACTGGGCGGTGCCAACTTTTAATACTGGTCCGGCGGAGTCGGCACGCTATTTCCACAAGACAGAGCATCCATCGGCTGGGGCTGGAGCCGCATGAACTCGATGTTTACCTGGAATCGATAAGAGCAACGCTATTGAGACAGCGAGCTTATAACTGCTATTTTTGGGAGAGCCCTGGATCAACGGCCTCGGCCTCGTTTCAGCGCCCCCGGCTTGGACGAGCGGGACCACCTTGATTGGCTGCGATGCCCCTCCCGCCCTGGTCCCGTCGATGATCTCCAAGAGACGATCGTGTATCATGCACACGAGGGTACACCAGGGTCTGAAGCTTGTCTCCCCTCCACAGACGTACCAGAGCAGTGCATTCAGATGATGCCAGGAGCACCACTGTCTCCAGCGACTCCAGTTTCTCGTCCCACTAGGGCGCTAGCTTGGCTTGTTCCCGTCAAATGTCGCCCGCGACTTAGCAAACAGCCAACAGGACAGCGTGGAACAGCACAGCACTGGACAGGACGTTTGAGTGGAAGCCGTTTGCTGGCCCTTGCTTTTAAGCCTTCTTGCTCGAACGATGCTCCGCAGCTGCTGTCATGAGGGGAGGGGAGAGGAGGAGACGAGACGAGACGAGAGGAGAAGCCTGTCTATCTGCAGCGGTCTCTAATCAATTCAATATTAGCCTTCCGATTCCGTGCATCGCGCAACCCCTCCCCCCTCCCTCGCTCTTGTCCTCCTCTCCCTTCCACAGGAATAGCCCGATTCATAGGCAATCTTTCATTCTTCGACGACGGTTCTACTGTCGCTTCCATTCCTTTCCCTTTTTCGTGTCTTTGCTGATCTGTGATCACCTTCCCTTCCTTCGCCTTGCTTGGGACAAGTGCGTTTTTCTTGGCCGTGAGCCTCGTTTATCAACATCTGCTTTGGCCGTGCCGAACAAGCTTTCCTTTCATCACAATCCCATTCTCTGACAGTTTGTCCCTTGTGCCTTAAGACTCGACGTTTGCAATTCCAGTGTTCATTCAACGTCTCCAAACGAATCCAAACGAAACGTACACCTGACGCAGTTGGAAGAGACCAACAGGAGCATCAAGAGCTTGAAGATACAAGCCTGAACCCGTTCGTTTGCGCACACACACACACCATCATGCCTTCATCATTACCATCATCGTCGCCGCGAGCCATCGCCCTCCTGCTCCTCTGCACCCTCACCGCCGTCCTCGCCCTGCCGAAGAACTATCCTCGCTTCTCAGTCCCCCAGCAGTATCTCGAGGTCGGCCAGATGCGCGCCGCCATGGAGATGAATCCCTCCGCCATCCTCGAAGCTCAGTGCATCGACCGCAACGTGTAAGTGCCCTGCAGCCGCCCCCATCTCGTTTCCTACAATACCCAAGAAGAAGAAACGAAAACTGACAAAAGAGCCAGCCACATTGTCTTCCACGACGAGTCTGTTGCCGAGCTCAACATTTGCGAGGGCGGCATCGCCGGCGACGTCAAGTCCTGTCGTGGCAACCCCGTCGAGACCATGGGCGTCGCCGGCTCGGCCCGCTTCTCGCTCAAGGTCATGGCCGAGGGCGCCACCATCAACGTGGCCAAGAAGCGGTGGGAGGCCTGCGTGCGCGCCGCGCGCGCCGTGTGTCCCACCGGCAGCTTCCGCGCCGTGTGCGCCGGGGGCACGACCAAGGGTGACTTGGAGTTCTTCCTCACCAATCCGTGGTGATTTTCCTCAACTGAGCCTCTGCTGGACGGGGGGGGGGAGGGGGGTTGCTCGTGTCCCGAATTCTGAAAGGGACGTTGCTTGTCCGATTCTTTGGCGCTGTAGGAAAAGAAAGAGTAGGGATGTCATGCCATGCCACAGACGCCGGATGCGTAGCGCATGGTCGTTTTAGACCTGTACATAGATTGGTGGGGTGACCTGCCGCCGAACATATGACCTGAGAGTCACAATGCCCCCTTAACTCTCGTCTGCGCATGCCTATAGAGCACGAGCCCTGGGTATCATCGCGAATGCATCCGTAACCATGAAAAGGAAAAAAAAAAGAAACGCCCCTCATCGAGGCCGTGTTCAGAGTCGATATCTGTCGTCCCTGTCGCCTCACACCTCACAACCCATACCGCGTCACGCACTCCTCTCGGTGCACCTCGAGACAGTCAAGCGCGCACACCCTCGTGCCGCATTTCATGCAGCGGACGCGCCCCCAATAGCCACACACCTCGCAGAACCGCCGCACGGGGTACTGTCTGTCCGCCTCGCTCCAGCCAGCCTGCGCCTCGGTGTACTTCAACGGCGGATGGGCCAGGAGGCGCCGCAGCTCCTCGTCGTCCGGCAGCTCCGGCAGCACCGACGCGAGCAGCGGGTCGTTGTCACCGGGGTGTGCGGGCGGCGGGTCCTTCTCGTAGGGCGTCAGGATGGGCGGCGCCGTCGGCACCTCGGTCGGCGCGTCCTCCATCTCGATGTCGGGCGTCTCGGGCGCAGGCTCCGGTTCCGGCGCGGGCTCAACCTTGCCACGGCGTGATCGGGCGCGACTGGGTGCCGACTTTTTCGACGAGGAGCTCGCTTCTGCTTCTGCTTCCGCAGCCGCGACGGCGGCGGCAGCGGCAGCTGCCTTTCGCTTCGAGTGCTGGTTCGGTTGCGGGGGCCGTTTGCCGGTCTGGCTTGCCTGCGCCGTCTTTTTCGCGTTCGGGCCAGGTTGCTGCGCTGTGTTCCCGTCGTTCTGCGCCAGAAAGGCTTCGTAGTCGTCGAGGTGGTTGGCAAACGTCTTCTGCGATTGGAGTATCTTCCTCACGTTGGGTGTGCTCTTGTTCAAGGCTACGAGAAATGTTGTCAGCATTGGTCTGTCGGATCGCACAGCGTGTCGGGATGAGTACTGACATTTGGCGCCGCCGGCCTTGGGAGGAATTGGTATGCCGGCATCGCGATTGCTTTCCCTGTCGAGGGCCTCGACTTCTTTGCGAATCTTGGCCTCTTGTCGGACGGAGAGATCGGCACCCGAGGGATTCGCGGCTTGGTTCCTGGCTCGCTTGCGATTTGAGGGCTGGAGCGCGGCTGCTGCTGGGTTGACGCCCGTGTCAGGCACATAGGCCCAGCCGGGTGCCGATTTTGTTTTCGCGCCAGCGACCTCGATGACGCCGAAATTGTTGCTGTACATGACTGTTTGTCGGGACGGAGGCTGGTAGTCCAAACAGATGCAGAAGGACTGGGGCATCGTGAGGGCCATGCACTTAGAGAGGAAGAGGAGCCTCGTCCCACCCAATCGGATCCGCTCAATTCCAACAGCTATCTAAGCACATATCCACCTGCTGTACCTCGTTACAAACAACCGGAATCTGACGACCTGGCCCAACGTCCCGAACCGCGACCGCATCCAGTTTCCGAACCACGAATAACGTGCCATCCTCTCCATCGAACCGACGCCCTACCTCGCCCCCGATAGGTCTTCCCCTTCAGCATAGCATCACGATGTCTTCGAGAATCCTCGCCGCCAGCGCCCGCGCTGTGCCCCGTGCCGTCCCCGCCGTGCGCAACCGCCCCGCACCTTCCAAACATCCGCCACCCTCCGCGACGCCGTCGCAACACCTCTGCCAGCACGGAAACCCGTGGGCGCCTTTTCGAGGGGGGTACGTTTCTCTTCCACCAGCCTCGTCCCCCATGTCCCTCCGCGTCCCGCCCCCCCTTTTGGCATGAAACACAAAGCTGACCGTTGTGCTTTCCCTCGCGCGCAGCCTTCCTCGGCTTCTTCGCCGGTAGCTCCCTCGCCGGCGCCGGCGTCTACTCCTACCTCGTCAAGGAGTACAAGCTCTCGAACGAGCTCCTCACCGAGGACATTTACGTGCGTGTCTGCATCTGATACCACCCCACTCCTCTCTTCGTCCTCTCTGCCCCCCGAGCCTCCAAACAAACCCCTTTGCAGCGCCAACGGAGGGAGGGGAAGGGGATGCTCCTCGTACCAGTAGAAACCCACCCTTAGCGCGAGCGCCGCCTTTCCCTGTTCCTCTTTTGCAGGACGTTTTCCCTTGGTGCCCATTCACATACGACATGCACATTGAGGACTGTCACGCTGACCATGTTTTCCTCTCTATACAGGCTCTGCAAGCGGCTGTTCAGCGGGTGACCGTCTACGTCCAGACGCTGGAGGAGAAGATGGACGCGCTCGAGCGCAAGAGGAAATAAAGCGGACGAAGCACGCGGCAAAAACGACGAAAACGGGCTGGGGCCTCCTTTTTTGGGGGGGTGGAACGGGCTGGCTGGGGCTTGTATATAGAGCCTGAGAACGACGTGGGTGGGCAGACCCGACGGGATGGAAATGGGACCATGTGTGACGCGCGTCTGAAGCCCAGCGGTAAGAAACACGTTCTCGCTGAAGGCTTGCAGAGAAGCAGACGGGGCTGGGTGATCATCTTGTGTATACCAAGTTGTACGAAAGTGCGAGCGGAAGCATCAACTACGCGGAAACACCCCACACCTCCTCAGCCGCCGTGCATGTACGAGAGGAAATGCTCAGAGAGAGGCGTCGGTCTCTTGGTTCGTAAAGCATCCATCACACAGCACGACGCCGCCTCAAACCATCACGAAAAGGCAGCAAAGTTACAACGTCCTTGATTCATGATTTGCATTACCCCATCTGGATGCATCGTGAACTAACTGAAGAACATGGAGGTATCAAAAGTCCTATCCGGGACATGGCCCCCTCCTTTCACGCAAAACCCAATTTTATCCCAGTAAATCGTTTACAGCTCATCGTGAGACTCGTCAGACTCCTTGGCGGCCTCACCCTCGGTGGCGGCGGGCGCGGCCTGGCTCTCCTCGGCAACAACCTCCTCCTTCTTGGAGGCCTCGGCCTTGTACTTGCCGTTGTCACGGACAAACTCAATGAGGTCCTCAATAGTGCGGGAGCCCGAGTAGGTGACAGGCTCAGACTTGCCGCCGGCGGGGTACAGCTTGATGGTGGGGAAGCCCTGGATCTCATCGGGAACGTCGTTCAGGGTGGCATCAACCTTGGCAATGACAACCTTGTCCTTGAACTCGCTCTCGCTGTAGAGGGTGGCGAGCTCCTCGTACTTGGGGGCCAGAGCCTTGCAGTGACCGCACCAGGGGGCGTAGAACTCAATGAGAACATCCTTGGTGTCGTCAAGCACAATCTGCTCGTAGTTCTTGGCCACAACAACGGTGACGGGACCCTCCTGGGTCTCGGGGATGGGCTCAGACTTGATGCTGGGCTCGATCTTGCCAGCGACGAAGTCATCGACGAAAGAGGTGATCTCCTCGACGGTGATCTTCTTCTCCTGGTCGAAGGGGAACTTCTGGTTCTTGACCGTCTCCTGGATGGCGAAGGCAGGGAACTTGTCAGCCTGGAGGTTCAGGTTGCCGGCGTGGGCACCGAAAGACTTGGCGTCAATGGTGGCGAAGTTGATGACACCACGCTGCTTCTCGGCGATGGGCTTGAGAGCCTTGGAGAGCTCCTCACGCTCCTCGGCCGTCTCGGCGAAGATATAGGCCAGGGGAAGGCCGGCCTCCATGTAACCGGAGTAGGTCTCAGGGCCGACCTCGCCAATCAGGGGAGTGGCGGAGGTCTTGGCGAACTTCTCGATGGCCTCGACCTCGAACTTGTCGGAGAAGGTGGTCTTGCCCTCGTCGAAAGACTTGTAGAGGACAATGGCAGGGGCCTTGACGCCCTCAGCCTCGGCAACGGCGGCATCGTTGACACCGCCGAAGAGGTAGTTGTCGCGGAGGCTCTCGGCGACCTTGTTGAAGGTCTCGTTGGAGGCCTTGTCATCGGCGGCAATGTAGGCGACGAGGACGACCTTGTCGGCAGTCTTGAACTCCTCAAGGGTGTCCTTGGTGAGCAGAGAGACAGCAGGCAGAGACTGCTTAATCATGTAGGAGGTGATGGCAGCACCTTGCGCTGGCCAGAGTAGGGGGAGATGTTGTCGGGGAAT